GACTATGGACTATTCTATAGTCCAGACTATAGACTATTTTATAGTCCAGACTATAGACTATTCTATAGGCCAGACTATAGACTATCGGCCAGACTATAGACTATTCTATAGTCCAGACTATAGACTATTCTATAGTCCAGACTATAGACTATTCTATAGTCCAGACTATAGACTATTCTATAGTCCAGACTATAGACTATTCTATAGTCCAGACTATAGACTATTCTATAGTCCAGAATAAAGACTATTCTTTAGTCCAGAATATAGACTATTCTGTAGTCCAGACTATAGACTATTCTATAGTCCAGACTATAGACTATTCTATAGTCCAGACTATAGACTATTCTATAGTCCAGACTATAGACTATTCTATAGTCCAGACTATAGACTATTCTATAGTCCAGACTATAGACTATTCTATAGTCCAGACTATAGACTATTCTATAGTCCAGACTATAGACTATTCTATAGTCCAGACTATAGACTATTCTATAGGCCAGACTATAGACTATTCTATAGTTCAGACTATAGACTATTCTATAGTCCAGACTATGGACTATTCTATAGTCCAGACTATAGACTATTCTATATTCCAGACTATAGACTATTCTATAGTCCAGACTATAGACTATTCTATAGTCCAGACTATAGACTATTCTATAGTCCAGACTATAGACTATTCTATAGTCCAGACTATAGACTATTCTATAGTCCAGACTATAGACTATTCTATAGTCCAGACTATAGACTATTCTATAGTCCAGACTATAGACTATTCTATAGTCAGACTATAGACTATTCTATAGTCCAGACTATAGACTATTCTATAGTCCAGACTATAGACTATTCTATAGTCCAGACTATAGACTATTCTATAGTCCAGACTATAGACTATTCTATAGTTCAGACTATAGACTATTCTATAGTCCAGACTATGGACTATTCTATAGTCCAGACTATAGACTATTCTATATTCCAGACTATAGACTATTCTATAGTCCAGACTATAGACTATTCTATAGTTCAGACTATAGACTATTCTATAGTCCAGTCTATAGACTATTCTATAGTCCAGACTATAGACTATTCTATAGTCCAGACTATAGACTATTCTATAGTCCAGACTATAGACTATTCTATAGTCCAGACTATAGACTATTCTATAGTCCAGACTATAGACTATTCTATAGTCCAGACTATAGACTATTCTATAGTCCAGACTATAGACTATTCTATAGTCCAGACTATAGACTATTCTATAGTCCAGACTATAGACTATTCTATAGTCCAGACTATAGACTATTCTATAGTCCAGACTATAGACTTAGTCAACTATAGACTATTCTATAGTCCAGACTATAGACTATTCTATAGTCCAGACTATAGACTATTCTATAGTTCAGACTATAGACTATTCTATAGTCCAGACTATAGACTATTCTATAGTCCAGACTATAGACTTTTCTATAGTTCAGACTATAGACTATTCTATAGTCCAGACTATAGACTATTCTATAGTCCAGACTATAGACTATTCTATAGTCCAGACTATAGACTATTCTATAGTCCAGACTATAGACTATTCTATAGTCCAGACTATAGACTATTCTATAGTTCAGACTATAGACTATTCTATAGTCCAGACTATAGACTATTCTATAGTTCAGACTATAGACTATTCTATAGTCCAGTCTATAGACTATTCTATAGTCCAGACTATATACTATTCTATAAGCCAGACTGTAGACTATTCTATAGTCCAGACTATATACTATTCTATAGCCCAGACTATAAACTATTCTATAGATCAGACTATAGACTATTCTGTAAGCCAGACTGTAAACTATTCTATAGTCCAGACTATAGACCAGTCTATAGTCCAGACTATAAACTATTCTATAGATCAGACTATAGACTATTCTTTAGTCAAGACTCTGGACTATTCTATAGTCCAGACTATAGACTATTCTATAGTCCAGACTATAGACTATTCTATAGTCCAGACTATAGACTGTTCTATAGTCCAGACTATAGACTATTCTATAGTCGAGACTATAGACTATTCTATAGTCCAGACTATAGACTATTCTATAGTCCAGACTATAGACTATTCTATAGTCCAGACTATAGACTATTCTATAGTCCAAACTATAGACTATTCTATAGTCCAGACTATAGACTATTCTATAGTCCAGACTATAGACTATTCTAGTCCAGACTATAGACTATTCTATAGTCCAGACTATAGACTATTCTATAGTCCAGACTATAGATTATTCTATAGTCCAGACTATAGACTATTCTATAGTCCAGACTATAGACTATTCTATAGTCCAGACTATAGACTATTCTATAGTCCAGACTATAGACTATTCTATAGTCCAGACTATAGACTATTCTATAGTCCAGACTATAGACTATTCTATAGTCCAGACTATAGACTATTCTATAGTCCAGACTATAGACTATTCTATAGTCCAGACTATAGACTATTCTATAGTCCAGACTATAGACTATTCTATAGTCCAGACTATAGACTATTCTATAGTCCAGACTATAGACTATTCTATAGTCCAGACTATAGACTATTCTATAGTCCAGACTATAGACTATTCTATAGTCCAGACTATAGACTATTCTATAGTCCAGACTATAGACTATACTATAGTCCAGACTATAGACTATTCTATAGTCCAGACTATGGACTATTCTATAGTCCAGACTATGGACTATTCTATAGTCCAGACTATAGACTATTTTATAGTCCAGACTATAGACTATTTTATAGTCCAGACTATAGACTATTTTATAGTCCAGACTATAGACTATTCTATAGGCCAGACTATAGACTATCGGCCAGACTATAGACTATTCTATAGTCCAGACTATAGACTATTCTATAGTCCAGACTATAGACTATTCTATAGTCCAGACTATAGACTATTCTATAGTCCAGACTATAGACTATTCTATAGTCCAGAATATAGACTATTCTTTAGTCCAGACTATAGACTATTCTATAGTCCAGACTATAGACTATTCTATAGTCCAGACTATGGACTATTCTATAGTCCAGACTATGGACTATTCTATAGTCCAGACTATAGACTATTTTATAGTCCAGACTATAGACTATTCTATAGGCCAGACTATAGACTATCGGCCAGACTATAGACTATTCTATAGTCCAGACTATAGACTATTCTATAGTCCAGACTATAGACTATTCTATAGTCCAGACTATAGACTATTCTATAGTCCAGACTATAGACTATTCTATAGTCCAGACTATAGACTATTCTATAGTCCAGACTATAGACTATTCTATAGTCGAGACTATAGACTATTCTATAGTCCAGAATATAGACTATTCTTTAGTCCAGAATATAGACTATTCTGTAGTCCAGACTATAGACTATTCTATAGTCCAGACTATAGACTATTCTATAGTCCAGACTATAGACTATTCTATAGTCCAGACTATAGACTATTCTATAGTCCAGACTATAGACTATTCTATAGTCCAGACTATAGACTATTCTATAGTTCAGACTATAGACTATTCTATAGTCCAGACTATAGACTATTCTATAGTCCAGACTATAGACTATTCTATAGTCCAGACTATAGACTATTCTATAGTCCAGACTATAGACTATTCTATAGGCCAGACTATAGACTATTCTATAGTTCAGACTATAGACTATTCTATAGTCCAGACTATGGACTATTCTATAGTCCAGACTATAGACTATTCTATATTCCAGACTATAGACTATTCTATAGTCCAGACTATTCTATAGTCCAGACTATTCTATAGTCCGGACTATTCTATAGTCCAGACTATTCTATAGTCCAGACTATTCTATAGTCCAGACTATTCTATAGTCCAGACTATTCTATAGTCCAGACTATAGACTATTCTATAGTCCAGACTATAGACTATTCTATAGTCCAGACTATAGACTATTCTATAATCCAGACAATAGACTATTCTATAGTCCAGACAATAGACTATTCTATTATAGAATCTATATAGTCCAGTCTATAGTCTGGACTATAGATTTGTCTATAGTCTGGACTATAGAATAGTCTATAGTCTGGACTATAGAATTTCTATAGTCCAGACTATAGACTATTCTATAGTCCAGACTATAGACAAATCTATAGTCCAGACTATAGACTGGACTATATAGATTCTACATTCTATAGCCAAGACTTTAGACTATTTTATAGTAATCTATTCACATAAAACCATTCTTCATTAACATTGAAATTTATTTTTCAATAATTGACCAATTTATTAAACTTGTTTCTGTTCTTCGAAATCATTATTAAGCTTTGCAAATAAATAATGTTTTTGCCCAACAAATCTTGTATAATTTACATTTTTATTTTCTACATGATGAAAGAAATGGAAAATAAATTAACATATTAAATTACCATTGATCGTTCTGAAATAAAAATGGCATATAATGTTGGCATTTCAAATAATTTTTTTGTTTTTTTGTTCTTTACACATTGTTAAATTGTCTGCTGTTTCTTTGATGAATTGAATTTTATAGCATTGGAATTCCCAGGAGTACCCTAAGAAAGGTTATAGATGTACATTTGTATGCTCCACCTATTTTAACAAAAAGCACTATAAGATTATTTAAATGTACATATATCTACTATATAAATATGTATAAATGGAATAAGTGTTTTAGTTATCTATGTAGAGAGCTACCATTTCTTTATTTCTTTGTCTTATTTTGTTCTTTTTATTGAATATTTCATTGTTGAATAATATTGCAAAATTACAAAAATACAAGTTGAGTTTATGCAAAGTGCTCGAAAATTTAAAGAAAACAAAAAACTATAGACTACTTTATAGTCCTGACTGTAGGATATTGTATAGTCCTGAACATAGACTATTCCATAGTCCTATAGAAATTTATGTTAATTTGAAATTATAAAAACAAATAAAATATTTCAATTTGTATTCTTTTAATTTCCAGATACCACACATGCATATTGCAAACATTGAAAAGTTACCATTAACCACCACCGGATCACCATTATTAATACGTTGTAAAACTTTTCTCTCCGTTACTTTTGTCATACCTAAAGATTCAGAATGTCATGATGTTTACACTTCGCTATTGAAGCTCTATCAACCTGGTAAATATTATTATTATTATTATTTCAGCTACATTTCTTAATAATCTATCTTAATAATAATTCCGTTTTACAGTTTCCATTAATAAGTTATATTGCTTTAATTATCAACCCGCCAAAGATGATTTTCCCAAGAATGCTGGCTGGGAATTTTTCAAATTGGAAAATGAATTTAAACGTATGCGTGTACCCAACGATATCTGGACGTTGTGCAATTTAAATACGAATTATGAATTGTGTGACACATATCCCAGACAAATCTATGTACCACAAGAGGCTAACACAGCCATGTTAATTGGTAGTTCACGTTTTCGTTCCAAAGGAAGATTGCCAGCATTAACATATTTACATTCCAATAAGGTAAGTGTTTCACGTGGTTGATGTTTTAGTAGCATTTAATATACCTCACTTTTGTCTCTTACTTGTCCACTTAATTAAAAACCTAATTCATTTGTTATGCATAAAATTTAATTCAAAGAATTTCGTTTGTCTAAACATAAATCTTAAAATATTAAAGTACATACCATGGTACATACTATTGTACTTTTTATGACCTTTTGTTTTAATTCTTTTGCTTTTTCTTAAAATATAATAAATTTTCCATTTTCATTTCCTTTTCTCCACAGGCTTCCATTTGTCGTTGCAGTCAGCCATTGTCGGGTTTCAGTGCACGTTGCTTAGAGGATGAACAGATGCTTGAAGCTATACGCAAAACAAATCCAAATTCCGACTATATGTACGTTGTGGATACCAGACCCAGAGTAAGTTAAATCATGCTGAATACAAGCAACAACAAAACGGAAACAAAAGTATAGAATTTTAAATGGTTGTACTAAATAAAAAACAATCAAATATGCATAATTTGCAGCAACAGAAATACTACTACTAATGTATAATTGAATAGCAAAATATTCTATGTATGTATGTGTACGTCTGAGTAAAATCATGAAAGTTCTATGGAGAGATAGAGAGATAGATAGATAGATAGATAGATAGATAGATAGATAGATAGATAGATAGATAGATAGATAGATAGATAGATAGATAGATAGATAGATAGATAGATAGATAGATAGATAGATAGATAGATAGATAGATAGATAGATAGATAGATAGATAGATAGATAGATAGATAGAAGAAGATGATAGTAGATAGATGATAGATAGATAGAAGATAGATAGATAGATAGATAGATAGATGATAGATAGATAGATTAGATAGATAGATAGCTAGATCGATAGATAGATAGATAGATAGATAGATAGATAGATCGATAGATAGATTGCTCGAGATAGTAGATAGATGATAGATAGATTAGATAGATGGATAGATAGATAGATAGATAGATAGATAGATTGATAGATAGTATGAAGATAGTAGATAGATCAGATAGAATAGATAGATAGATAGAGAGATAGATAGTGGTAGATAGGTAAGATAGATAGTATTAATAACAGTTTGCAAATACATCAATTTTGATTTCCAATGCTGTTGCTGTGTCTTGTTGGAACTGTTTGACGTTCTAATTGCAACAATTTTAGATCGTAAATAAAAGCTTACATTTACATGCAATGATGTAGAACAACGCCTCCTCCTACATGTATTGTGGTTTTTGAAGAATCCTTTTCAGTTGCATGACATTCTTAAAATTTATTTCTGTATTATATTTGTCTTCACAAAAAACAATTTCTTACTTCAAACATACATATTTTTAGCTGGTTATATGTATACTCAATGCAAAAAGTTTTTTCTTCTTGTTGTTTGATATTAAAAATATTTCCTTTTTGTTATTGTTATTGTTTACATTTTTAATTTTTTTTTTTTGTAGATAAATGCTTTGGCTAATCGTGCTGCTGGCAAAGGTTATGAAAATGAGGCATTTTATGAGAATATTAAATTTCATTTTCTTGGTATTGAAAATATTCATACACAAAGAGCTAGCTTACAGAAGTTAATTGAGGCTTGCGAACAGAAGAGTCCAACGATGAGTGGTTTTCTGAATGCTTTAGAATCGTCGGGTTGGCTTAAGCATATACGTTCTATTTTGGATACATCAAGGTATTCAAATATGTACTTAGTTATAGGAAAGTAATATATTGTTTATATTTATTACAGTTTTATTTCGAATGTGGTGGATAAGGGTGTATCAGTGGTAGTACACTGTTCGGACGGTTGGGACCGTACCGCACAAGTATGTTCATTGGCTTCCTTAATGTTGGATCCTTATTATAGGACTATTAAGGGTTTTCAGGTAAGTTATTAACTAATACTTCAAAATAGTTATAGAAGTTTTAATTTTTCTTTCATCTTCAGGCTCTTATTGAGAAAGACTGGTTGGCTTTTGGTCATAAATTTAGCGATCGTTGTGGTCATGTACAGAATGATGCTCGTGAAGTCTCCCCTATTTTCACACAATTTCTCGATTGTACTTGGCAACTGATGTCACAGCGTACCGATGCTTTTGAATTTAATGAACGTTTTCTTCTAATACTACACGATCATGTGCATTCGTGTCAGTATGGTACATTTGTGGGTAATTGTGAAAAGGATCGTTTAGATTTGAAATTAGCCGAAAGAACATTTTCTTTATGGGGCTATATGGCCAATCATATGAATGAATATATTAATCCATTGTATAAACCCAATATTGATGAAACGATTAAGGCTAATTTGGCACCGCAGTGTATTAAGTAAGTTTCTATTTGAAATGTGTATAAAGTGGTGTTTCTGTAAATGTTATTTTTCATTTCAGATTTTGGCGCGGCATGTATAGTCGCTTTGAAAGTGGTGTACATCCTCGAGAACCTTTAGGTGATTTGCTTTTAGCCAGCAAAGATCATACCACATCTTTAGAAGATCATGTACAGCATTTAACAAAGGTTGGTTCAAGTTATTTCAGTTTTGTTTGGTTAAATTTTAAACTAAGTTTATTATTTATAGCGCATTGCAAGTTTTAAAAATTATATTTCGAAATCTGCTAAAAAATTACAAGATGCTACTTCTACTAAGACAACAACCAAAGAACCTACCAATGCCACAGATACTAATGATAATAAGTAAGTTTGCTTTGTTGTTGCTTTTTTTATTGCTCTTTATAGTTTGTTACTAAAATGTTTAATTGAATTTTGAAGCAGTTTCGGTAGTCAGAATGGACTGATTAGTTAATGGACTAGTTAGCAGTCTAGACCATGTGCTAGTCTCTTGCTCACTTGTCTAACCTATAGACAATAGACTAGTCTATATAATAGTTCATAGACTAGATAATAGAATAGTCTATAGTCTTTTCAATAGTCTAGTCAGCAGACTATTCAATAGTCTAGTCATTAGACTTGTCAATAGACTAGTCATTAGAGTAGCCTATAAACTAGACCATATACTAGTCAATAGATTAGTCGAGAGACATGTCAATAGACAAGATACTTGTCTATAGTTTAGTCTATATTAAAGTCAAAAGACTACTCAATAGTCTAATCAATAGTATAGTTAATAGACCAGGCAATAGACTAGTTAATAGTCTAGTCAATAGTCTAGTCAATAGACTACACAATAGACTAGTTAATAGATTAGTCCAGAGTCTAGTCAGTAGAATAGTCAATAGACTAGCCACAAGATTATTCAGTAGTACAGTCAAAAGACTATTCAATAGTCCAGTCAATAGACTAGTCCATAAACTAGTCAATAGACTTCTCCATAGATTAGCCAATATATTAGTTCATAGACTTGTCAACAGATTAGTCAAGAGACTTTGCCAATAGACTAGTCAATAGTCTAGTCAATAGATTAGTCCATAGACTAGCCAATAGACAAGTCCATCAGCTAGTCAATAGACTTGTCCATAGACTAATTCATAGAATATTCAACAAATTAGACAAGAGACTACTTAATAGTCTAGCCCATAGGGAAGTCAATAGTCCAGTCCTATGACTAGTCAATAGTTCTAGGACTAATTAATAGACTAAATTTTAATAAAACGTAAACGTTTTATATTTTTAATTTAGATATAATTATGATAAAAAGATGAGTGAATTATCCTCAGCCGATGATGATCATCCTTTAAAACCTGCCGGAGGTGTGGGAGAAACTGTTACCGGCAGCAGTGGAGGAAGTGGCATGTCATTTGCTAGTTTATCGGTCAGTTATTTTGCATTACATTAGCTTTTATAATAAAAACAAATAACAAACAATTTCTCTTCAGCTATCCGATGAAGTCGATCCCAGCACCCTAAATGAGGAAATCAATTCGGTGGCCATTGATTGGAAATCAATGCGCAATGTAACCGCTTGTTCTTGCTCAACACCATTCGATCAGTTTAGTAAGAAAACACATTGTTGGAAATGTGGTGATATATTCTGTGAACGTTGTATCGATAAGAGTATTGCATTGCCGGGACAGGATAGTGGCAAACCGGTACCAGTATGTCGTACATGTTTTCGTTTGGTACAAAAGATTAGCCCATAAATTCATAATGAAACAAAAATTATTCGGACAAACGGAATTCCTTTATCGCTTGTTTACTAAGCGCAAATCTGCTGTGTTAAATGTATGGGATGATGGGTGAGACTAAATGAATTATGATGGCTGGCTAATGGATGGATAATGGCTAAGGCTAATGCTTACAAAGAAAACTATTTATACTACTTAACAAAGAACAATAGCGTGTCTCTCTCTCTCTCACTCTGTGTGTGCGTCGTCTGTGTGAATGTCTTAATCGAAAGTTAATTGAAAAATACAATAAAATTATTCCAAAATCAAAAAAAAAATAAACTGTATGTCTGTAGGAAGCATGTATGTATTTTCTTCTTTTATGTATAAAAAAACGTTAAAGGCTAAAAACAAAAAAAAACATCATAATTATAAAAATATGTATTAAAAACAATATAAAATTAAACAAACCACAAAAGAATTATTAAAAAAACAAACATGCATTTTAATCTGAATTATTATGAAAATTAAAAAAAAAAAAAACAAATGTAGAAAAGAACATGTTCTTAGAAAAATTATTTACTAGACTTTACAGTTAATTTTATTAAGTTCATTTTTAAATACACATATAAATATATTATTTTTAAACTTTTTGTTGTTATTTTCCCTATACTATGTAACTTCTAAAGAAAGTTTGTGTATTTTAATCTCATTAGTTTTTATAATATTCAAAACAGTAAACTATTATTTTGTAGCACAAATTATAATCAGAAAATGAAACAATTATACTTATAACCCAAAAACAGTCTCGTATTAATAAAAAAAATGTTATTATTAAAAGAAAAACTATGAAAAATGTGTTTGATATGATGTTTGTTGGGCAAAAAGGAGGCGAATGAGTGACTCTAGTAGTTAATTATAACAAACTTGTTCTCGAACTATGTAGTTATATTTGATTAAATTCTAAAGTTTATAAATTGTGTGAAAAATACGAAAAACTTTCTATTGTTCTTGAAATCTTTTAATTTTTATAACACACTAGCTATACCCAGTGTGCTTTGCTACCCTAAAAGCAATATAAATAAAAAATCTTCTTAATAATTTTGAAGATTCTAACTGTAATGATTTCCAGAGATGCATTTTTTCGGAACGTTAATTAAGATTTTAATGTAATCGATGACAAATTAAAAAAAAAAAAACTAATATTTTCCCAGATATACGAAATTTTGCATTTAATTCATATAGGGGGTGCCAAGACCCCATTGAAAGTCCGCCCGTTATTCCCTAAATGTTCACATTAATGTCAAAGATCTTCATGTAGAATTTGAAGATTCTAGCTCTAATAGTTTCTCAGATATACGAATTTTTCTATTTAATTCATATGGGAACTCACAGCCCCCAGATGAAAGCCGCCCTTTTTTTCTCCAAAATGTTCATATGTATAATAAAGTTCTTCTTGCAATATTTGAAGAATCTTGTTCTATTAGTTTCCCAGATAAGCGAAATTTTGTATTTAATTCATATGTGAGGTGCCAAGCCCCCCATTGAAAGTCCGCCCGTTATTCTCTGAATGTTATCATGAATGTCAAAGTTCTTCAATTAAAATTTGAAGATTCTAGCTCTAATAGTTTCTCAGATATAATATTTTCCTATTTAATTTATATGGGGGCTCCATGCCCCCCATGATGAAAGTCCGCATTTTTTTCTTCAAAATGTTCAGATGAATATTTAAGTTCTTAGTGCAAAATTTGAAGAATTTAGTTCTATTAGTTTCCCAGATAAACCAATTTTTGTATTTTATTAATATGGGAGGTGCTGCTCCCCTCATGGGTAGTCCGCCAATTTATTTCCCAAAATGTTTACATGGATGTTAAAGTTACTCGTGCAAATTTTTAATATTTTAACTATAATAGTTTCCAAGATAAACGAATTTTTGTATTTAATTTATATGGGAGGTGCCACGCCCCCTAATGCTAATCCGCCCACTTTTTGTCTTAAATAATTATATTGATACTAAAGTTGCTCCGACAATATTTTAAGACTCTAACTATTATATTATCTCAGATATACTAATTTAATATTTTCTTAATATGGGCGTGGCACGTCGCCCACATGAAATTTCAACATAAAAAGTAGCCTAAAGTTCTTTCCAGACATACAGGAAGAAACTGTGAAAATTTCAGGAAAATTGGTCCTGCCGTTTATCAGTCTATAAAGCACAAACAAACATACATACATACAAACACACTTTCATTTATATATATAGATTTTCATTACATACCATGATATTGAAATTACTTTTAATTGCAAACAGTAAAATCTTAAAATATAATCTAAATGCATTTGTAATTACATTACCTAAATAATAAATCTTTCTGCTAATGGATTCCACATAAGTGAAAATATCGTTTATCTCAAAAAAATAATTTTAATTTTTTGAAATGTTTTTTAAATACTACCCTATAACGACTTCTGTAGAAGTGAATTAGAATGGTCAGAAAACTAAACCATAGAATAGTCAATACACAAGTTCATAGAATAGTCAATAGACCAGTAGACTAGTTGATATAATTATCGATGGATGAGTGCATGGAATAGTCATTAGACAAGTCTATAGAATAGTCCATAGACTAGTTCGTAATATAGTCAATAGACTAAATGTTCCATAAACGAGTCCCTAGAATATTAAGTTCATCAAATAAAATCGTTAATAAACTAGTCCTTAGAAGTCAAGATATAGACCAATAAACTAGTTCATAGACCAGACCATCAAATAGCCCATAGATTAATATATTAACTAGAATAGTCAATAGACAAATCCATGCAAAAGTCAATGGACCAGTTAAAATACTAAGAAGAGAAATCCATAGATATGTCAATAGACTAGTTTAATCAAATAATCATTAGACTAGTCCTTAAAAAAGTAATAAACAAGTCCATAGATTGGTCGATTAAATATCAGCAGTATCTTCCTTTAAACTTTAGACTAAAGGAAACGAAAGCAAACTCATAGTTTGAGTTATTTCGTGCTGAAAGCAAATCTTTAGTCAACCGTTTTATCAAATACTTAATCAAAGTAGTTAGTTAGTTAGTTAGTTTGTTAGTTAGTTGGTTAGTTAGTTTTTAGTTAGTTATTTAGTTAGTTATTTAGTTAGTTATTTAGTTAGTTATTTAGTTAGTTGGTTAGTTAGTTAGTTAGTTAGTTAGTTAGTAGTAGTTAGTTAGTTAGTTAGTTAGTTAGTAGTTAGTAGTAAGTTAGTAGTTAGTTAGTTAGTTAGTTAGTAGTAGTTAGTTAGTTAGTTAGTTAGTTAGTTAGTTAGTTAGTAGTTAGTTAGTTAGTTAGAGTAGTAGTTAGTTAGTTAGTTAGTAGTAGTTAGTTAGTTAGTTAGTTAGTTAGTTAGTAGTTAGTTAGTAGTAGTTAGTTAGTTAGTAGTTAGTTAGTTAGTTAGTTAGTTAGTTAGTTAGTAGTTAGTTAGTTAGTTAGTTAGTAGTTAGTTAGTTAGTTAGTTAGTTAGTTAGTAGTTAGTTAGTTAGTTAGTAGTTAGTTAGTTAGTTAGTTAGTTAGTAGTTAGTTAGTAGTAGTTAGTAGTTAGTTAGTTAGTTAGTTAGTTAGTTAGTAGTTAGTTAGTTAGCTAGTTAGTAGTTAGTTAGTTAGTTAGTAGTTAGTAGTTAGTTAGTTAGTTAGTTAGTTAGTTAGTTAGTAGCTAGCTAGTAGTTAGTTAGTTAGTTAGTTAGTTAGTTAGTTAGTTAGTTAGTTAGTTAGTTAGTTAGTTAGTTAGTTAGTTAGTTAGTTAGTTAGTTAGTTAGTTAGTTAGTTAGTTAGTTAGTTAGTTAGTTAGTTAGTTAGTTAGTTAGTTAGTTAGTTAGTTAGTTAGTTAGTTAGTTAGTTAGTTAGTTAGTTAGTTAGTTAGTTAGTTAGTTAGTTAGTAGTTAGTTAGTTAGTTAGTTAGTTAGTTAGTTAGTTAGTTAGTAGTTAGTTAGTTAGTTAGTTAGTTAGTTAGTTAGTTAGTTAGTTAGTAGTTAGTTAGTTAGTTAGTTAGTTAGTTAGTTAGTAGTTAGTTAGTTAGTTAGTTAGTTAGTTAGTTAGTTAGTTAGTTAGTTAGTTAGTTAGTTAGTTAGTTAGTTAGTTAGTTAGTTAGTTAGTTAGTTAGTTAGTTAGTTAGTTAGTTAGTTAGTTAGTTAGTTAGTTAGTTAGTAGTTAGTTAGTTAGTTAGTTAGTTAGTTAGTTAGTTAGTTAGTTAGTTAGTTAGTTAGTTAGTTAGTTAGTTAGTTAGTTAGTTAGTTAGTTAGTAGTAGTTAGTTAGTTAGTTAGTTAGTTAGTTAGTTAGTTAGTTAGTTAGTTAGTTAGTTAGTTAGTTAGTTAGTTAGTTAGTTAGTTAGTTAGTTAGTTAGTTAGTTAGTTAGTTAGTTAGTTAGTAGTTAGTTAGTTAGTTAGTTAGTTAGTTAGTTAGTTAGTTAGTTAGTTAGTTAGTTAGTTAGTTAGTTAGTTAGTTAGTTAGTTAGTTAGTTAGTTAGTTAGTTAGTTAGTTAGTTAGTTAGTTAGTTAGTTAGTTAGTTAGTTAGTTAGTTAGTTAGTTAGTTAGTTAGTTAGTTAGTTAGTTAGTTAGTTAGTTAGTTAGTTAGTTAGTTAGTTAGTTAGTTAGTTAGTTAGTTAGTTAGTTAGTTAGTTAGTTAGTTAGTTAGTAGTTAGTTAGTTAGTTAGTTAGTTAGTTAGTTAGTTAGTTAGTTAGTTAGTTAGTTAGTTAGTTAGTAGTTAGTTAGTTAGTTAGTTAGTTAGTTCGTTCGTCGTTCTTCGTTTTGTTCGTTGTTCGTTCTGTCGTTAGTCGTTTTCGTTCGTTTTCGTTCGTTAGTTCGTTCGTTCGTTGTAGTAGTTAGTTATTCGTTAGTTCGTGTAGTTGTTCGTTTATTTCGTTAGTTAGTTAGTTAGTTAGTTAGTTAGTGTTCGTTCGTTCGTAGTTAGTTAGTTAGTTAGTTGTTAGTTTAGTTAGTTAGTTAGTTAGTTAGTTAGTTGTTAGTTCGTTAGTTAGTTAGTAGTTGGTTAGTTCGAGTTAGTTCGTTAGTTCGGTAGTTCGTTCGTTGTTAGTTGTTAGTTGTTGTTCGGTTAGTTAGTTAGTTAGTGACCACACAGATCAAAAAACCTTTATACTACAGCCACTCAGGAGATAGTAACTAAGAAAGTGCAATTATAACAAGGTCAACAAATTTTAAACCCATAGACCAGAGTATAATTTTCTAAAGGATCGAGCTCAGCTAAAACCGAATCTGATATCAGAATAACACATCAGTTTTATTAGATAGTTCGAAAAAACAGTTTTCGGCGTATTCCAATCAATATAAAAGACGAAAGAACTTTTAATTTTAAAATGTGTTATGTCGTCTCAGGGTCCTATATATTGACTTCAAAATAAAAGTTTAAATTTTCTAAGTGTTAAAGGCTTAGAAAGGACATCGGATAGTTTAATTGCCATATACAATTTTCCATTCCATTAAAGAGGCCGCCAATCTAATGCACAAATATAACCGTATATACATAACCACCATTAGAAATCAATACAAAAGTAATTGTAAATAGTGCTTTAGTTTCAATTTAACATTCAATCGAATAAAGTCGCAAAATGCCATTCTCGTTTATTCATAAACGTAAAATACAAATTGTTTTACGATTTATTGTGGATTTTCTCAAGCATAATCCCATACATTGTACATCGTATTTGGCAAAAACCCAGATTCATTGGTTGGAATTGTACGTAAAAAAAACTTTTTTCACTAATCGCCTAAATATTGTTAACGAAATTGTTTAAGTTGTTTTATTTATATTTAAATATTTACAGAATGTACTGGATTTTAGCACTTTTAATATTTCTTATTATTGGTTTTATATGTGGTATGGATTTAATTGCCGACTATGTATCCAGAAATACAGCTTTGACAACTAATATTGCCAATGGTGTTATGCAAACTTATTATCCCTCATTAACCTTGTGTCCAGATGATATATTGGATCAGAAAAAGTTAAAGCATTTCAAAAGGTAAGCTTAATTAAAAACAAGTTAGAGTGCTCTATATTTGGCTATGACGAACATTTTTTTTAGAGAATATGCTAAAAAGCTCCTTAAAATGCAATATTTTCCTAATCATAATAAATTCCTCAAGGAAATATGGAAATTGGAGGAATTTTTACAACAACTTTCAAAAACAACAGCTAAAAAGGCATACCCATATGCATCCGGTAGTACCATACCACAAGAGGATTATATGCAGTTGATCTTTAAGTATAAACGCAAATATTGTCCTAATTTTATAAAATATCGAGGGACTACATTCAAACCTGTCCCATTAATTTAATCTAAGATAGAGAGTTTTAAATATAGTTCCTCGATAAATTTCAGTGAAAATTTTGAATAAAAATCGTTTAAATTTTATATAGTTTATCACGCAACTACGATGTTAGAGTGGAAAACAAAACTGCCGTAAAAATAATGACAGAAGTTGGAATATGTTATACAATTAACAATATTCATAGTAAACAATTATATACGAAGTAATATTATATAAACATGGGAATTGAGAAGTTATTATTAAACAATTTTTTTCAACTTCACAGATATTGGCGGGATTTAGAACCATATCCGAAAAACTACAATGATCGTTTTACGCAAAAATCTTTCACTTTTCGCAGCACTTTTCCTTTGCGAACTAATATAAATCATAATATTACTGGCAAGATAACAGTTTACGCACATAATCCATATGAGGTGCCGACAATTTGGACTCGACCAGCTCTAATAATTAATAAAGATAATAATACGTACATTTTAAAAGCTGCTATTCAACAAATCACAGTTGATGAAACTGTCTTTAAGTAAGTTGTAACTAGTTATAGTTCTAGAAGTTGAAATTTATCAAGAACACACGATAACTGTTATTCTTAAAGGAATTTTTATTGTAAATATAAAGATATAGGAAAATTTTAAATATGGACCTTTCTTCAAAAAATGTATATAGTTTTTTTTACATTTGCAGAAACAAATTTCACGAATACATACGTTTTCAAAACGTTAATGAGTCACAGTTATTTTCCCCATTGTCATCCTCGACAAATCTTTGTGTAATGGAATGTCGTGCTCATTACATTAGGAAATTATGTAATTGTGTACCACACTTTTATGCTCATACATATTGGAGAGATGCAAATGTTTGCAACGTACAAGGACTAAATTGTTTTAATCAATATATTGAAATTATTCGTACGATAAATACCAATACAATTTCACCGATATTTAGATGTGATCACTGTCAACCAAATCATATTGAACAAATTGTTGTGGTTAAGGTGAGTTTTATAAGTTCTAGTTCTGATCTAGCTCGGTTCTAGTTCAGTTCCAGTTCAGTTCCAGTTCAGTTCCAGTTCAGTTCCAGTTCAGTTCTAGTTCAGTTCTAGTTCAGTTCAAGTTCAGTTCTAGTTCAGCTCTAGTGCAGTTCTAGTTCAGTTCTAGTTCAGTTCTAGTTCAGTTCTAGTTCAGTTCTAGTTCAGTTCTAGTTCAGTTCTAGTTCAGTTCTAGTTCAGTTCTAGTTCAGTTCTAGTTCAGTTCTAGTTCAGTTCTAGTTCAGTTCTAGTTCAGTTCTAGTTCAGTTCTAGTTCAGTTCCAGTTCAGTTCTAGTTTAGTTCTAGGTCAGTTCTAGTTCAGTTCTATTTCAGTTCTAGTTCAGTTCTAGTTCAGTTCTAGTTCAGTTCTAGTTCAGTTCCAGTTCAGTTCTAGTTTAGTTCTAGGTCAGTTCTGGTTCAGTTCTATTTCAGTTCTAGTTCAAGTTAAGTTCTAGTTCTAGTTCAGTTCTAGTTCAGTTATAGTTCAGTTCTAGTTCTGTTCTAGTTCAGTTCTAGTTCAGTTCTAGTTCAGTTCTAGTTCAGTTCTAGTTCAGTTCTAGTTCAGTTCTAGTTCAGTTCTAGTTCAGTTCTAGTTCAGTTCTAGTTCAGTTCTAGTTCAGTTCTAGTTCAGTTCTAGTTCAGTTCTAGTTCAGTTCTAGTTCAGTTCTAGTTCAGTTCTAGTTCAGTTCTAGTTCAGTTCTAGTTCTATTCTAGTTCAATTCTAGTTCAGTTCTAGTTCAGTTCTAGTTCAGTTCTAGTTCAGTTCTAGTTCAGTTCTAGTTCAGTTCTAGTTCAGTTCTAGTTCAGTTATAGTTCAGTTCTAGTTCAGTTCTAGTTCAGTTCTAGTTCAGTTCTAGTTCTAGTTCAGTTCTAGTTCAGTTCTAGTTCAGTTCTAGTTCAGTTCTAGTTCAGTTCTAGTTCAGTTCTAGTTCAGTTCTAGTTCAGTTCTAGTCTTCTAGTTCAATTCTAGTTCAGTTCTAGTTCAGTTCTAGTTCAGTTCTAGTTCAGTTCTAGTCAGTTCTAGTTCAGTTCTAGTTCAGTTCTAGTTCAGTTCTAGTTCAGTTCTAGTTCAGTTCTAGTCAGTTCAGTTCTAGTTAGTTCTAGTTCTAGTTCAGTTCTAGTTCAGTTCTAGTTCAGTTCTAGTTCAGTTTCTAGTTCAGTTCTAGTTCAGTTCTAGTTCAGTTCTAGTTCAGTTCTAGTTCAGTTCTAGTTCAGTTCTAGTCAGTTCTAGTTCAGTTCTAGTTCAGTTCTAGTTCAGTTACTAGTTCAGTTCTAGTTCAGTTCTAGTTCAGTTATAGTTCAGTTCTAGGTCAGTTCTAGTTCAGTTCTGTAGTTCAGTTTCAGTTCTAGTTCAGTTCTAGTTCAGTTCTAGTTCAGTTCTAGTTCAGTTCTAGTTCAGTTCTAGTTCAGTTCTAGTTCAGTTCCTAGTCAGTTCTAGTTCAGTTCTAGTCAGTTCTAGTTCAGTTCTAGTTCAGTTCTAGTCAGTTCTAGTTCAGTTCTAGTTCTATTTCTAGTTCAGTTCTAGTTCTAGTTCAGTTCAGTTCTAGTTCAGTTCTAGTTCATGTTCTAGTTCAGTTCTAGTTCAGTTCTAGTTCAGTTCTAGTTCAGTTCTAGTTCAGTTCTAGTTCAGTCTAGTTCAGTTCTAGTCAGTTCTAGTTCAGTTCTAGTTCAGTTCTAGTTCAGTTCTAGTTCAGTTCTAGTTCAGTTCTAGTTCAAGTTCTAGTTCAGTTCAGTTCAGTTCTAGTTCAGTTCTAGTTCAGTTCTAGTTCAGTTCTAGTTCAGTTCAGTTCTATTTCGTTCTAGTTCAGTTCTAGTTCAGTTCTAGTTCAGTTCTAGTTCAGTTCTAGTTCAGTTCTAGTTCAGTTATAGTTCAGTTCTAGTTCAGTTCTAGTTCAGATCTCAGTTCAGTTCTAGTTCAGTTCTAGTTCAGTTCTAGTTCAGTTCTAGTTCAGTTCTAGTTCAGTTCTAGTTCAGTTCTAGTTCAGTTCTAGTCAGTTTATAGTTCAGTTCAGTTCTAGTTCTATTCTAGTTCAATTCTAGTTCAGTTCTAGTTCAGTTCTAGTTCAGTTCTAGTTCAGTTCTAGTTCAGTTCTAGTTCAGTTCTAGTTCAGTTCTAGTTCAGTTCTAGTTCAGTTCTAGTTCAGTTCTAGTTCAGTTCTAGTTCAGTTCTAGTTCAGTTCTAGTTCAGTTCTAGTTCAGTTCTAGTTCAGTTCTAGTTCAGTTCTAGTTCAGTTCTAGTTCAGTTCTAGTTCAGTTCAGTTCAGTTCTAGTTCAGTTCTAGTTCAGTTCTAGTTCAGTTCTAGTTCAGTTCTAGTTCAGTTCTAGTTCAGTTCTAGTTCAGTTCTAGTTCAGTTCTAGTTCAGTTCAAGTTCTAGTTCAGTTCAGTTCTAGTTGAGTTCTAGTTCAGTTCTAGTTAAATTCTAGTTCAATTCTAGTTCAGTTCTAGTTCAGTTCACTTCTAGTTCACTTCTAGTTCAGTTCTAGTTCAGTTCTAGTTCAGTTCTAGTTCAGTTCAGTTCTAGTTCAGTTCTAGTTCAGTTCTAGTTCAGTTCTAGTTCAGTTCTAGTTCAGTTCTAGTTCAGTTCTAGTTCAGTTCTAGTTCAGTTCTAGTTCAGTTCTAGTTCAGTTCTAGTTCAGTTCTAGTTCAGTTCTTGTTCAGTTCTAGATCAGTCCAGGATTGTAAGGATTGTGAATTGAACAAATAAAAAGCGAGTCCAAGAAAATCCGTAAATCTATAAAGTATTAGAGCCACTTTTAAAATCCAAAATATTATTTCAGAGCTACAGCGAAAGAAAAAAGAAAAATAGTACAATAAATTTAATTTTTCAAATTGAACATCCACCAATTCAGTCGTACACTAGAATTATCATGTACAACAAATTCGATTATATTGGTAAGTACAAAAACAACCTAATTCTGAATAAAAATCCCATGGCTATTTCGCCCTAATTCCTGAAAATGGTTATTTGGAATTCAATTATGATTTTAATTATTAATTGCAGTGTCGTTATCTGGTGCCTTGTCGTCATTCTTTGGATTTACTATATATGGTTTATGTGATTTCATATATTTCTTTACTATACGAATATATTGGTTTCGAAAAGGTTTTCGAGGTGCAATCGATGAATTGACTTTTAATAATTAAGTTTTTATAACAAAACTGCTAAAAATTTAAATTTGCTTCAATATTTTTGCAAAAATTACACATAAATATTGAATTATCTAAAATCTCTACTTCATAACATATTCCTAACATGTCCCTTATTAACAACGGAAAATTTCCAAGACATTGTTGTTTATTATTATTTTTATGTTTTCTATTCAACAATATAATCTTTAAGAAATAAAATAAAAAAAATGTTTGCAAAATATTAAATATTTTGTTTTAAGTTCTTATTATATTCTTCTTACTATACCAGCCAATCTGGTTTCATACGCAAAATAACAGGAACACTGGTGCACGGTAAGACGGAAACCTCTGTAACTACGGCAGTTACTAGTTCGGGTGGTGTTATGTCGTAATTTAAATTTAATGGAGACATTTTATGTTTGGCCTGCCAATTCGAAAGACAACACTTATCGTCTACCACAATATCATCGGGATTTCCTAGTTCATTGTAAACAATGGCATCCGTTTGAAAACGTTCACTGAACTTGTGAGTCTCACAGCAAACAAGAACGGGGACATTAAACGAGCGTGCAACTAAAGCCACTTGAGCTGTACCGGTACGTGCCATAACATAACCATTGGCCAAGAGAGCATGAGCTCCCAAAAGAACTTTTGTAACTTCGGGCATAACAAAACTAACAGCATTGATTAAAACATAAGAACAGGGAATTTCATTGGCAGTGAGACGTCTAAGCAACTCCTGGCCTTCACAGAAGGGACGTGAGTCGACCACAATGACTCGGAAATCGACTTTTCGTGCTTGGGCTTCCTCGCAGATGTAGTTGATAAGAGAAGAACTAAAATGGGAAATAAAAATCACTTTAGCCCTTAACTTTTGAAGTTTGCTTAACAAATCTTACCAGCCAAAAGTTAATATAACATCTCCATTATTGATTTTCTTTTGCATCATGGAATTAATAGCCTGGGCTGCTTTGAAAATTTGATTTTCAATATAAGTATCAATAAATATGAAAAGTCTTTCTTTTAACTAAAGGAAAAAAATAATGAATTCAAAAATATTTTTGTTTTTTATAAATATGTAGTTTACCTCCGATTCTGGTTCATCTTTAGGTAACTGCATTAAAACTTGCTTAAGACTTTTATGGGCATTAATAACGGAAACAGCCAATGTACGACATTTTTGTAAGTACTCAACACAGTTGGCTATAAAGGATTCTAAACTACGACTGAACTCTTTTTTAGCTGGTGTCTCATAATCTTCTATGACCTTTGAAATATATTTATTATAAAAAATTATAGAAGTAAATAAAACAACTGAAACTTACCATTTTAATGGCACTTAAAAATGCCATACATCTGGCATTCGAACCGACTATAGTACGCTTGGCATATTGTTCTCCTAAGCGTGCTATACTAGGGTGAATGTGTGTGTTATTAACAAATAAATTGGCATTTGTGTTGGGCTTTTCCAAGTGACTAAAGAGTTTAACATTGCCATCATTAAAGCGTACAGTTTTAACTGGCGAATTACTAGTGGCCCTTTTAGGCAGACCTCGTCTCTGTTGAGGGGTGACGGTGATGACGATTTAATGGGTGGTTTTTTGGCTGTTGCTGCTGTCGTTGTTGGTGTAGTTTTAACAGTAGCTGCTTTACCTTTAGTTGCCGCTGCACTTTGAGCTTGAGCCTTTGCAGCTCTTGAGCTTCTGTATTGCTCCTTCCTTTCGGCCTTGGGGAGGACTTCTAGAAAAAGAATTTAGGTATTAAAAGTAAAAGAAGGCAACATCTGCTATAGACACTACGGCGATCAGCTCTATCGATCGAGCGACACGAGCGAGAGAGGAGACGAGCGAGCGAGCGAGCGAGCGAGCGAGCGAGCGAGCGAGCGAGCGAGCGAGCGAGCGAGCGAGCGCGCGAGCGAGCGAGCGAGCGAGCGAGCGAGCGAGCGAGCGAGCGAGCGAGCGAGCGAGCGAGCGAGCGAGCGAGCGAGCGAGCGAGCGAGGAGCGAGCAGCGAGCGAGCGAGCGAGCGAGCGAGCGAGCGAGGAGCGAGCGAGCGAGCGAGCGAGCGAGCGAGCGAGCGAGCGAGCGAGCGAGCGAGCGAGCGAGCGAGCGAGCGAGCGAGCGAGCGAGCGAGCGAGCGAGCGAGCGAGCGAGCGAGCGAGCGAGCGAGCGAGCGAGCGAGCGAGCGAGCGAGCGAGCGAGCGAGCGAGCGAGCGAGCGAGCGAGCAGCAGCGAGCGAGCGAGCGAGCGAGCGAGCGAGCGAGCGAGCGAGCGAGCGAGCGAGCGAGCGAGCTAGCGAGCGAGCGAGCGAGCGAGCGAGAGAGCGAGCGAGCGAGCGAGCGAGCGAGCGCAGCGCAGCGAGCGAGCGCGAGCACTGAGTCGACAGAGCAGCGAGCGAGCGATCAGCGATCGTCAGAGCGAGCAGCGAGCTGAGCGAGCTAGCTAGCTAGCAGCGAGCGAGCGAGCGAGCTAGCTAGCATCTAGCAGAGCTAAGAGCGAACTAGCGAGCATGCTATCGAGCTATCTATCTATCTATCTATCTATCTATCTATCTATCATCTATCTATCTATCTATCTATCTATCTAATCTATCTAGCATCTATTATCTATCTATCTATCATCATTATCTATCTATCTATCTACTCTATCTAATCTATCTATCTAATCTTCACTCTTATCATCTATCTATCTATCTATCACTATTATCTTATCTCCATCTATCAATCACTATTTCACTGAAAAAATCTTACCTTATCTCCCTCAATTATGCTGCATCGCCAGAATTTTCGCATTTGTTTCATTGATTTCACTTGTTTCAATTGTTCGGTTACCGCGACCATGGCTATTTGCCGCCAGAAAGCTTTTGCAGATTTTAGCTGCCTGTTTTAGCCATTTTTAGCCTCACGTTCAGCCTTAATTTGTTCACGCGTTTTTTCACTACCATCCTCTGGTATAGGAGCAGTATCATTAATATTCTCGGCCTTGTTTGCTGGAGGAGAGTTATTGGTCGATACTGTCGCAACACCTGCAACGACACCAGCCTTTTGTTTTTTAGCTTGTTTGGCTAATTTTTTAGCCTCACGTTCTGCTTTGATTTCATCTCGAGTTTTTTCCTTTTCCACCTCTTGTTTATTTGACATCATATCGATGGCTTCCTGTGTGGAAACATCCGTATTTTCAATGCCTCCTATAGCCTTCGTTTCCACTTTAACAATGGAAGCAGTTTCCAATTGGACTTCTACTTTGATTTCTGTGTTAATTTCTGTTGTTATAATTTCACCAGTATTCATTGTTTGCCGTTTTTGGGACTTTCGATTCCGCTTCGATTTTACAACTAAGGGCTGAGGAGCAAAAATGAGATCATTAATTAATGTTTCGAATTTGAATTTTAAAACATTTCAATGTGGTTTAATATGGATATATCTACCTTCATTTTAATATCCTGGTATTAGCATAATATAAAATAAAGGAATTAAATTACAAAATAAACATATAAATTAGCTCATTTTTACTATGTCTAAATACCCAGCTGTTGGGTGTTGCAATTTTTGTCTCTTTTCGTCAATATATTAGGTATTATTGAAAATATTCTAATTGTTGTGAATAATAACAGTTTGAATATAGATTTTTTAGACTTACCTTTAGTTTAAACTTTTATTTTTATTAATTTTTTGTAAATTATTTAATATTTGCACACGAAGACAAATGTGTTAAAAAATGAGAGAAAATGCACTAAGTAGCAGAGACCTGCGCCGACAAATATTAACGTCGGCGGCGACTGACACTAAATATGTCGGCGGCGGCTTAAAATCGACTACAAGCCGGCTAAGTTTTCATCTACGTTTAGTTTTTAAATTTTGAACGATTTTAAATAAAAACGGAATCCGAGAGATCAGAAAGTGGTATTTTGGAAGCAAATATATTGTTTATAACAACAAAACAGAGCAAGCTCAAATGTTGTGTGAGAAATTATGCAGGGATGAATAAAAAATTCTTAAAAATTAAAAACAAATCCTTTCTCCAGGTTTCACGAGGATCTGCCGATTTTAACCCTATCCTCCATATAAAACATCTTGCAGAAAATCAGTTTCAAAAAAATGTTGCATTAAGAAAATGATCAATAACGTAAAAACAAAGATATTTTGTTTATTTACTAGCTATACCCATTGTGCTGTGCTACCCTAAAAGCAATATAAATATGAAACCCACTTTACGATTTTGATGATTCTAACTACAATGGTTTTCCAGATATACAATTTGTTACATATGGGAGACTCCACGCAAATTATTGCAATTTCGCCAATTATTCCGAACGTTAATTAAGATTTTAATTAATCTATGAAAAATTTTAATAATCTAATAGTTTCCCAGATATACAAAATTTTGTATTTAATTCATATGGAAAGTGCCAAGCCACCCATTGCAAGTCCGCCCGTTATTCTCTAAATGTTCTTCAGTAAAATTTGACGATTCTAGCTCTAATATTTTCTCAGATACACGATTTTTTTTTATTTAATTCATATGGGAGCTCCAAGCCCCCCAGATGAAAGTTTTTCGTGCAAAATTTGAAGAATTTAATTCTATTAGTTTCCCAGATAAACGAATTTTTGTATTTAATTCATATGGGAGGTTCCGCTCCCCTCATTGGTAGTCCCCCAATTTATTACCCAAAATGTTTACATGGATGTTAAAGTTCTTCCAGAACTACATCATTTAAAGGGATCACAAAGAGATTGAAAAATATTCCAAAAGTTTCACTTTGAAAACATTATTAGAGTGTATGAAGACTCGCAACTCTAAAGGCAGACTATTCCTATTTTAGCGGTAATTTCTTTATGATTAAAATAAGTAAGAAGTAAGAGTTATATTCGGCAAATCATATGTCGTAAAAAAGTAAATTTCCCCTCATTAGATTAATAAGAACGTCACCGTGATTTTCGGATTAGGGACTTAAATGTGGAATTGGATCAATTATTGACAAAGTTCTCTATAAATAAAAGTAATAATTTAATTCTATCATAACGATAACTTTTGAAAGATGTATTAGCTATAAACTGATTTTCTGTAAGAGGGTTATATTGGCGGACCGATTCTCATAAATTTATTTTTCATAAATGTAGGTTTCGGTTCCTAAAAATGTTTTTTTCGTCGACATCGACATTTGAAATCCATTTATGTGCGTTTAAGTCATTTTCTGAAGAAGATTTCATATACATATTTACATTACATATTTTCGTTCCAACAAAAATTGTTTTTTATTAAGTACGTAGAAAACGTTAAAATCAATTATTGAAGGGCAAGGGTCAATTATGGCCTATAGAGATTTCGATTGATATCGAGCCCTTTTTGCGAGATACATTTGCAAGCGAGATAAATTTTCGTTCAATTAGGATACTGCGTGTTTAATTTTATGTTTATATATTCAATATTTTAGAAAATTCAAAAAGTACCAGTTAAAGAACGAAAAATTACCAGAAATACTCCAGTTTAAATTTTCATTCACTCAAGTCCCTGATTGCTTAGTTTTATGTTTTAAGGTTCATTATAATAGAAAATTCAAATAGAATCAGTTGAAGAACGAAAAAGTTCCAAAAAGTCCCGTTTTATATGTTCTCACTTACTCCATGCCCTACAGGTTTAATTTTATGTCTATAGGTTCAATATTATAGAAAAGTCAAAAAATACCTTTTGAAGAACGAAAAAGTACCAAAAAGTCCCCTTTTATATGTTATCACTTAATCCGGGCTGTACATTCCTACCCAGGAAAAAGTTACATGACAAAGATGTTGTTTAATCAGAGGTTCAAGTGATGACGAAGTGGTTCGATTTAGGTGAAACATGCATGATTTTAACATTAGCGTGTCATTGGAGATCATGTGTTTATGCGAGAATTCCGAATAATCGAACCAATGCAAATTCGATGATTCGAAAACGATGTTTCATTGGTTCAAGCTATTTGTTTTGTATGTATTTTTGGAAGATATTTTAAATATTTTTAAGGAAAATATTATAATAAATATGGGAAAATATATAAAATAATGTTAATAATCAAAAATATTTCTAATAACACATAAATTTCCTTTGATTAAATTAACAATCTGAATTAATTTTTGAAGTTTTAAAGGAATATTTTAACTGCGGAATAGGTTGAATTTAGGAAGGCGTTTAGAATGAGTTGTATTAGCACTGTTATTAAAGAAGTCATGAAACATGCATTCACTTTGCACTACTGCAAAATTTTTTTGCTGGGTAATTTCATGTTTCTAGGTTCAATATTATAAAAAATTCAAAAAGTACCAGTCGAAGAACGAAAAAGTAGCAAAAAGTCCCCTTTTATATGTTATCACTTAATCCGGGCTGTACATTATTAATTTCATGTTTCTAGGTTCAATATTATAAAAAATTCAAAAAATACCAGTCGAAGAACGAAAAAGTACTAAAAAGTCCCTTTTTATAGATTATAATTTACTCCAGGCTCTACATATTTATTTTTATGTTTCTAGGTTTAATTTTATGGAAAACTCAAAAAGTACCAGTCGAAGTATGATAAAGTTCCCATTTTATAGATTCTCATTTACTCCAGGCTCTAAGTGCTTAATTTCATGTTTCGAGGTTCAAATTTTGTAGCAAGCTCAAAAAGTACCTTTTGAAGAACGAAAAAGTACCAAAAAGTCCACTTTTAGATTCTCAAGTGCTTAATTACATGTTTGAATTTAAGTGTAATGAAAGTGTATTTCAACACTTGAAATTTGAATGTTTGACTGGAACTAAACTTGTTTTAAACTTTAATTACAGCAAGAATACTTATTTGGTATAGTGTTACAACTATAAGGGATCTAAAGTCGACATAAAGCCCACAATGGTTAGTACCAATATTTTGCTCAAACAACATCTACATACCTAGCCAGGTTATATCCTCTAGTTCCGTGAAGACATTCTCTGCAAAGCTATAAATTTGTATAAAAGGCGGCTTAACAATTGTTTCTTGTAAATATTCGGTCACCATAGTGTTTGGAGACAACTAGAGCTTCACTGAAAGGCACACCAGACAGACATCGGGCTCTATTATGGGTGTATGGTAGTGATTTTGCTGAGATCAATGGTATAATAATAAGTATGTATCCCAAGGATACCCCCTGATACGGCAATCAGCTTCAACTATTTAAACACATCTGGCAACACTTACTGCCTGACAGTTCTGTGAATAACTGTCAAAAACTTTTCGTAGTGTTACTTGAGCATTGGAAAAATAATTTATTTCATCGAGACGTTAAAGAAATCATAGATATCCAAAAAATGTCTGCTATCCTGTCCCAAATTCTTCGCCGCAAGATTGCAACCTCTGCATCCAGGTTTGCCACCGCCGCCACTGCTGGTGAACACTCCGGTAAGATGATAAAAACAGAAATTCCCAAAAAAAAATATAAATTTGGTAGGGTTAGGAGATGCGAGGTTATGTAATGAAAAAAAGTGTATAAAAAACGCAACTTTTAATCCTAATCAATGACCAATATTAAACCATAGTAAATTTCTAACATTCGTTCAATAAATAATATAATGTTTCGTTATTTTTCCAGGTGGTTACAAGATGTGGAAGCGTTTGACTTTCTTCGTTGCCTTCCCATCTGTTGGTTTGTGCATGTTGAACGCTTATTTGGCTCATCAGGAACATGCCCACCATGCCCGTCCTGAATTCGTTAAATACGAGTACTTGGCCAAGCGCGACAAACGTTTCCCCTGGGGTGAAGGTAACAAATCTTTGTTCCACAACCCCCATGCCAATGCTTTGCCTGACGGTTATGAGGCCTAAGGTGTTGTGAACATTCTATCGATCGATGTTTAGTTTAAATCTGTAATGATAACAAATAATTATAATTACAATGAATGATAAATGAAGTATTTCATATTAATAAAAACAAAACATGAAAAAACCAAAGAAGTGAATATTGCTTAAATATGTGTAGTAAAATAGAAATGGTTATTTTGCAATGATATTCATATGTTCCAGTAGTAATCAGAATTGTTTAAAAGGGATACATAAAAGCAAAAATAGGTAAGTGATGGAACTAAACAATCTTTAAAGTAACAGTTCGACTCTTGCCGATAGTTGTCTTCTAAACTCGTTTCGTACAGCTGTCGCTGGGTCATTCCGGAGCGAAGATACAATTGTTTTGACAAATACAAATTCCTCGTTTAATGATTTACATATTTTAAGGGCAATAAAGGTAATTTTTGTTACAAAGTAGTTCACCTAAATTCTTCCATTAAAGAGCTGCTTTAAACCTTTTTGTAAATGATAATGGAATATTAGAACTAAATGAATTTTGGTTTTTAAAACCATATGGATGACGTAGATATTAGGGTTGTCATTCGAATAAAAATGATTCGATTCATCGAGGAAAAAATTTGTTTTTCTTTGAACGAATAAAATTTTTGCCGACTAATCGAATATTCGAATGATTATTAAATGTTACTTTTTACGAATATTTTAGTTTGTAAAAGCATTCACAAACTTGCAAAATGGTGCCAAACTAAAATCAAAAATATTTTAGTTGCAATATGTTTATATTTTGGCCTTATAGGCTTTGTATTCTTATGAGGAATAAATAAATATGTGTGAATCCATTCATTTCTCCATCGTATATACAATATAAAGCTGTTAGCTTCCACTTTCTAAATCCGTTGAGGAATTTAAAATCGGTTTTACCCATATCTTAAGATTTTGGAGGTGTTTGGCAAATTTCAAAAACTGATTTTTGTAATACTCGGTAGCACCTTTCAGAAAACCGTGTCACTTACCAGGTATGTATTTTTTATCGCATAGTGTTATTGAGTTTTATTCATATTTTATTAAATTATTCGAGTAAAAACTTTTATTCGTTCGAATAATCGAATAATTTTTAAAATTTTATCGACTACTCGAATGAAAATAATATTGTTCATTAAAAACCCTAGTAGATATATTATTCGTTTATAGCCCCATACAAAGTCCCCTATTATCACGATAAAATTCTGCATAAATAACTCTAATGTAAACGCAAACCCCTCTACCAACATTTGTAAGGATAGTCCCTTGCCCACGTATAACTCTTCTTTCAGAAAATTACTTTTTTTGTTAACAAATTGTTGAAATATTTCTGAATTATGGCAAAAATAACTCAAATGCTTTATTATTAATAGTAATGCACATATTTTACATACTATTCACTGGTAGGGTGTCATAAGATCGGTCATGCCTGACCATGCGTTCTTATTTGTTTAACTTTAAAATTTATTGAAAACTGTTTATGATTGCACTTATTTATTACCCTGTTCTTAAAGATAATGTAAAGTCGGCGCCGACATTTATATTCTAACGGCGTCGATATGAAATTTAGTCGGTATAGAATTATCTTAAATAGAGTGCAGGGATGGAAAAATTAAGAAATGTACTATTTGATGTTTAAATTAAGATGACTTAAACAAGCCAGAAACCAATGTATATAGGATTGAACAGCGCTAAATCCGAATCTGTTCAAAATTTATCCATGTCATCAGGTTTCTGCTTTCGTGAAAGGTACTTTTCATTTGTTCAAAAAGTATGTTTTGAAAAAGTACCCATTTGGTGTGTTTATCTATAAATTTGCAAATTTTTAAAATTTAAGCTCCGTTCACAATGATAGCAAATTGTATTTCTATTTTTTTTATCAACAATATTTTAAAATTGACTAAATATCTCGCTTTAATTCATTCCAGAGTGGAGTACTCTATTATTCTGAACGTAGCTTTAATCAAAATAGGCTCAAAGATTTTGTTGCTACTATGTGGATTTTGTATTATTTCAGAAATTACAACATCGTAGTTGGAGCAAAACAATACGTATTCATATGTACAAGCCCATGATACATGATTGTTATAGTTATATTATGGTACAAACCAATAGAAAACAATATTTTATAAAAAAGTATCAGTTTTCTTGGCTCAGAAAATGTTTTTGATATTGAAAGAAAATCTTATTTTCCATCCCTGGTTGAGCGTCTTTTTTCGATGCATTCGTTTTTTATATTTAGTTGTTGTTGTGATTTACTAGCGAATTGATGTTTTCAAAAATAAACAAACAAAAAGTCGAAAGCACCGTAACTGCATTGGAGGAGTAGAGTAATTAAAGGCTAAAAGAGAAAGAGAGAATAAAGCCGCCTAATTCATTTTTCATTAAAAAAAAACTTTTTTAGCCTAACTTGATAGTAAAGTGTGTTCTATTAAAATGTTATTAGTTGCTAATAAAAATAAATAAACAATAACCTTGATACAATGTTAAATAAACGTCACAAAAAAACATACATTTATAACGACGACAACAATAGCAACAATAATAATAAAAGCGGTCTTTTACCTTAAATGTAAAAATAAATTTTTGGAAAATATCAATTGATGATAAAAAGTGATGACAAATAATTTAAAATTAGTTTGTATATTGTGCAAAAATTCTATGAAATACAAAGAAAAATATAGGAACAAATAGATTTTCTGTGGTTTTATGGTAAAATTATAATTGTATTAAAGAAAATCCATAGCTTCTAGCCTTGAAAACAATAGTTAAAATTTGTATTTGGCGTGGTAGCGTGTCTGGCATTTATTTGTATTTCTTTTTTTTTTTGTAAGTGCACTAGGGAGGATAGTGAAGAAGTTATTGAGTGTGTTGTTATGTATTAAAAGGATTTGCTGTAAACACAAATAAAAAGAAATAATAAGAAATTCATCTTCAATTACAAATTCTTTAAATATGTTTAACAATTAACGTGGTATTATTTAAAAATAAAAAAAAAACATATAAATCATCTTTTAAAACATTTTTAATAATAGTAGAAAAAATACAAATATACATACAATAGCTATCAATCATGACAGATGAATGCATATCGACGACGGTGGAGTACATAACAAGTGCTACTTTAAAAATGAACAATTCCTCGCACCAACAGCAACAACAGGATGTCTATGATGGTGCTGTTGATGACGACGACGATACCGTTGGTAGTCGCGGTATTGGTCTATGCAACAGCTTCGATCGACCCGATGCTCTGGGTATGGGCTGTGAAGAAAGTTCTAATAATTCATCAGCAGTACATTCCACAAATGGTAAACCTATGTAAGTTGTATTTAAATGTTTTGTATTGTAGATGAAGTATACAGGTAGAAATAGATCTTTAAAATATGGATGTATAAGAAATGTCTGTAACAGTTGTAATAATTCTGTTAAATTCAATAAAATAGATTTTCACCTCTACATTAATAATGTTATTTAACAGAACTATAAATATGTTATTTCCTGATAACATACAGTTGAATGAACAGTGGGAGAATTTCTGAAAAAATAAAACTAGAGATATATCTCAAAGACTTTGTTGTTTTCCTAAACATAATGTATATCATAATGAATATCTTTCTGTTTATAAAAATTCTGAAATCTGGAGTTCGGAGGAGAAGATTTGCTAATTTTAAATAAACAACTTCACAGGAATGTAAGAAGCATTAAAGTATTTTTGCACGCTATCTAGTTACTCCATTTTATATATAATTAAAAAAAATACTTATAAATTTTATAAAATATTTTTAACTTATATATTGTATAGAAAATATTAGGCTCTTCTTAATAATTAATGCAATAATTTATGAAGTTTACAGAATTTTACTATGCTTTACATACACATGTATGTAAAGTATTTTGAAATCATCTACACACTTTCTATAAATAAAAAATAAATATCCTTATCACTTATATAAAGTTCATTTTTTTATTTTTCCCCTTATTTTATAGCTCAGTTTCTGAGATAAAGTGTATGGTGGCTCGTATGCCAACTGAACGCAATGCCATGGAATACAATATGAACCATAAAAAACGTGGTTTAGCTATAATCTTTAATCATGAATTTTTTGATATACCATCATTGGAGAATCGTAAAGGTACTAATATTGATTGTGAGAAATTAAAGAAGACATTTAAAAGTCTAGATTTTGAAGTATCAATATATAAGGACTGTAAATTACGGGAAGTTTTTGAACATATCGATAAGGGTAAGTAGTATGTAAAGTATTTAATTTAAATATTTCGTTAAGTTTAAGAAAACTATAAATAGACAATAGACTAGATCATAGACTGTAGACTGGCACATAGACTAGAAAGGCTAGACTATAAGCTTGACTATAAACTAAACAACAGACTAGACCCTAAGCTTGACTTTAAGCAGGACTAGACTATAGACTGAACTATAGACTATAGACTAGACTATAGACTGGACTATAGACTGGACTATAGACTGGACTATAGACTGGACTATAGACTAGACTATAGACTGGACTATAGACTAGACTATAGACTGGACTATAGACTAGATAGATAGATAGATAGATAGATAGATAGATAGATAGATAGAGAGATAGGTAGATAGATAGGTAGATAGATAGATAGATAGATAGATAGATAGATAGATAGATGGATAGATAGAGAGATAGGTAGATAGATAGATAGATAGATAGATAGATAGATAGATAGATAGATAGATAGATAGATAGATAGATAGATAGATAGATAGATAGATAGATAGATAGATAGATAGATAGATAGATAGATAGATAGATAGATAGATAGATAGATAGATAGATAGATAGATAGATAGATAGATAGATAGATAGATAGATAGATAGATAGATAGATAGATAGATAGATATATAGATAGATGGATAGATAGATAGATAGATAGATAGATAGATAGATAGATAGATAGATAGATAGATAGATAGATAGATATATAGATAGATAGATAGATAGATAGATAGATAGATAGATAGATAGATAGATAGATAGATAGATAGATAGATAGATAGATAGATAGATAGATAGATAGATAGATAGAAAGATAAGAAATAAATAAATACACAAATAAACAAATTAATAAAATATAATTAAAAAATACAACAACATTTGTTATGTGATACCAAATAATAATGACTATTAACATTTTTTATCGGAAACGTTTTCATAAACAAAATATAAAATTATTACGGTCACGTGAATGCAGATATCTATAATAATTGAAATATAACAAAGGCAAGTTCAATTGCCTATTGAAAGGGAAATTCCCTTTCAATAGAATTTATCAATTTAAAACTAGAGTGTTGAAAATAATATAATCTGAATCGATGAAATGTTGTTAGGAAATCACTTTAACTCTTTGAAACACTGGAATAATAACCTAGTTTTAAATATACGATTTATTTTTTATTTTTTTCAATTCAATTTACTTTTCTAGCTGCTGCACAGGATCATAGTGAACACGATTGTATTGCAGTTGCAATATTAACACATGGAGAACAGGGTTATTTATACGCCAAAGATGTCATGTACAAATTAGATACTATTTGGCATTATTTCTCAGCCAGAGATTGTCCAACACTGGCTGGTAAACCGAAATTATTTTTTATACAAGCCTGCCGTGGTGATCGTTTAGATCCAGGTATTAAACTACAAAAGACTGAAACAGATGGTGAGACATCATCTGATATGAGTTATCGTATACCAATACATGCTGATTTCCTAATAGCATATTCAACAATACCAGGTGAATATTAACAAATTATTTTTTTGAAAACAAAAGTATTTGCTATTTTCGCTTTCATTTGTTCATATTTAATAAATACAAAAATTTCCGGTTTAATTAAAGGTTTCTACTCCTGGCGCAATACTTCAAATGGTTCATGGTTTATACAGTCTCTCGTCGAGGAATTAAATATTAATGGCAAAAAATATGATTTACTAACACTATTAACATTTGTTAATCGCCGTGTGGCCATGGATTATGAATCGTGTGTACCATCACGTCCCATAATGGATCAACAAAAGCAAATACCTTGCATTACATCAATGTTAACACGCATTTTACGTTTCACCGATAAACCTAAACAGAATTAAGTTTAGATTTGAAACATAACAATTACTCAAAAATAGCTACAAAAACCAACAACAATGTGTCATACAAATTGCGTACAAATTTACAACAAAACGAAGAAATAACAAAAATTCTTTTAGAACACAATTGTTAAATCAATTTTTTTTCTTTTTTTTTGTTAATTTAAGCATTAGAACTAAATTTTTTAACAAAAAACTTAATTCACTTTTGATAATATGTACTATTACATACTTGTATTTGCAAATATTTTTTTTTTTTGTATTTTATATGTATAATTCTCATTCATTTATTCTAACATTAACATGGAACTGAATTTTTTTGATAGGGCTACTATTGTTATTTTCACTATCAGTACTTGCCATTCACATGTTCACTAAACTTTATTTAAATGTATTTTGGGTACATTTCAATTACTTACTTACCACATAAGTCTATAAAGCAATAAGATTTATAGAAGATTTTTAGAATTATTAGATTATTGTTCAATTTTTTTTTATTACAAGAAAAGAAAAACTTAATGTGTACTTTCCTGCCTTCCACAATGGTTGCCATTTATTAATATTTAAGTTCTATTAGTTTAATCCATTTAACATTTTCTTAAATTAAACAAAAATATATGAATTCGAAAGCAAACAACAAAAAGACGTGTTTTGTTTTATTTATAACAAGTTAGAGTGTTTGGATATGTGAGCAGGTGTTTACATTACTGGCGACACATTTGTGTCCTTTGTCATACCTATTAAGAAAAAGACTCAGCATCGATCTAATCCTGTGTTAAACCTTAATTCCGCCAAGGCCTGACATTAACAGAAGATGTTAATGGAGGATATCACCTTTTACCACGCCATGACAGATTCTGTAGAAATTGTGAAGTCCAGAGGTCCAGTCACCATTACAAATGTGTTTCGTATCGTACGGAATTGTATGTCGATCACATGATATTCGCCATTCACCTATATTGTGCATACTTCGTGGA